CATCACTTGTTCTTTAAACTACGTTGTGCCATTATACGAGTTAGATCTACCAGCACAAACTCTTAGTAACTAAACAAATCATATACAACTTTTAACTTACAAAGAAGTTAGAAGAAGCTGGAACTTCAAGGAAAAGAGAACACATGTTTCATGAAGATTGAACACTCATTTATGAGCAGAAGATCACACAACTTTAAAGAAACAGTAATAACACATCAACACATTCATTGCAATAGCTTTATGCAACTAAGAACTAAACTATAGAGTTGGAAAAATACATAGTTTGCAGAAAATTGAAGAAAAAGCAGTAAGATAATGAACCAGCAAGCAAGACTCCAGCCAAAACGGAAAAACAACAGTAAGAAAACAGTGAAAACCCAGCAGTGATGAAACCCAGAAATGCACCAACTTTCGAAGAAGAAAGAGATCAAAAATGACTTCAAGGACCATGTATTTCTGGAAGATTTTGCTCTCAAGAAACTCACTTCACGTTCTCAAGTTTCTGTGTCTTTTTAGAGTTTGTAGAGATGATCTCTCAATATGTGTACGATAGAGTGTTTTTATATAAGTAAGAGAGATTGGGAGTGGGAGTTGTTAAGGAGGAAAAGTGTGAGTGTGAGTTGTTAAAGAGGAAGAGTGGGAGTATGAGTTGTGATGGAATAATTGTGTTGGTATCAGATGTGTGCTAAGTAATGCGAGGGAGTTGGGGGAAAGAGGTAAAGTGAGTGGTGGAAGTGGGAAGTGAGGTATTGGTGAGATGAGTGGGATATAATTTTCTTAAGTAATAACTATAAAAGATGAAATAAGAGCTAAAATATGTAGATTAAACTTAAAATATATTTACATACTAAAAAGTGGTAAAAAATTCAAGCATAGTCAAAAATTAAATGCTCACATAGACAATTCAACCAAATTTAGTAGCACTTATGTCTAAATATAGTGCAACCATAGTTTTGATTTCATTATCCCCAATCTTCTTCATCTTGTGCACAAGTTAAACTAAGTTGGTGCATGAAGCTAAGTTTGTTTAAGAGAGAAGGTTGTAATGTGAAGGAGTTACATACTCTAATTTCATTAAATCCTAAATTGAGTGTTGTCAAACTTTCATGTGTCACGACCCAAAATTCGTTAAAGGTCGTGATGGCGCCGGACACCACTATCAGGTAAGCCAACACTAAATAGTTACTTAAATTATCATTTTAATATTTTTAAAATAGTAACTTTACTTCAATTTATCTAGTAAAAGATGAATTTACAGAATAAATAACAATATTTTCCAATTTCAATATTGAATATCCCATAATCATCTCAGAACCCGGTGTCACAAGTGCATGAGCCTTTTCTAAGAATTTAAAATAAAATAAAATAACTATCCGGAATACAAATTTGGACAGGAAAGAAAATACAATACTATGAAGGAGACTCTGTTGGCTACGGATCGTAGAAGTGAGTGCAGCTCACCTAAGTCCCCGCAATAACCGCGCCTCTGCGCCCACAGGGCCTCTAGACATATGTGTACCTGCACACAAGAAATGTGCAGCAAGTGTAGTATGAGTACGTAAATCAACGCGTACCCAGTAAATATCCCGCCTAACCCCGAAGAAGTAGTGACGAGGCATCGACTTCGATACTTACTATGGGCTATAAATAGGATATCAATGATATAATTAAGTATGGATTATATGAACGGTTGCAAGCTCAATATTTGAAGTAAGTAAGCAGTTCTTTTATAATTAAAAAATCTCTAAATTTATCTCCCATTATTTAACAATTTAACTCAGGCCGAGGAGGCAAGATCATTATTTATAAATTTCAAGGCAAGAAATACAAGCATGCGCAAATCATGTCGAGGTCGTACGGCCCGATCCAACATATATTTAAACTGTGCACTGCCAGAGGGTCGAATGGCGCGAACCATAGATGCATCTATTTAATCTGCCGAGGCGTTCGGCCTGTTCCACAAAGATAAACACATTCAAACCACCAAATTAAGGATTTATTTAGGTTTGATGTTCAAAGAAATATCAATTCTCATTAACGGTCAAGTGACCCGTCCGAAACCCAAGTAGGTGAAGTTTAACCTTTTGAAATTTCCTTTATCAAGTTTCAGTATGTTTTTAAACGGTTAAATTAATAAGTAGGATGCAAGCATCGCGAGTATAACGTGATTTGGGTCCTAGACTACCCGAACATAAGCATAATAGTAGCTACGCACGGACTCTCGTCACCTCGTACGTAGCCCCCACAAATAGAAGCACATATTGAATTATTTCACCTATGGGGTAAATTCCCTCTTACAAGGTTAGAAAGGAGATTTACCTCGCTCCGAAGTTCCATAACCGACTCCCAAGACCTTCCGACGACTCAAATCGATGCCCAACTCTCCAAAACTAGTCAATAACTATGCAAACCCATTAATATATACTCAAATACTCATTATAATCCTATTTACAACAATTCCCAACTACGCTTGAAAAGTCGAAAAAATCACCCTTGGGCCCACGTGCCCAAATTCCAAAAAATTTTGAAGATAAACTTTGCCCATGACATCACGGACTCAAATATATAATTTATTCTCAATTTCATGCCCAAATTTGTGGTCAAATTCCAAAATACCAAATTCTAGGTTTTCTACCAAAATCCCATAATTTATAATAATTTTCATGTTCAAATCCTTATACAAACCATGTATAATTCATGTATTTAACTCACAAATGGGAAGAAACCACTTACCTCGAATTTCTTGATGAAAATCTCCCCTTGAAGCTCTCCAAAATCGTCCAAACCAAATGAAAATGGGAGAAAAATGGGCCAAGTCCCGTTTTTATAAAAACCCTTCTGCCCAGCGACATTTCCGCACCTGCGGCTCCATAGGTGCGGTCCAAATTTCGCTCTTGCGATCCTTACTACCCAGCCAAGACCTCGCACCTGCAGAAGTTTCTTCGCCTCTGCGAGCATCGCAGGTGCGACCTGCTACGCGCATCTGCGCAATTTACACACTAGCGGTAGTTGCCTCGCGCCTGCGCACACGCAGGTGTGCTTCTCCAGTCCGCTTCTGCGGCTCCCCCAGCTCCAGTCCCTTCTCGCTTCTGCAAGAAATTTGCCGCACCCGCGATTTCGCACCTGCGGCCAAAGTCACGCAGGTGCGATTACACCAAAAGCATTGAGCTTTAGAAATTCTTAACTCCAAAATCGATCCGTTAACCACCCGGGACCCCATCCAATCACACCAACTAGTTCCAAAACACATTACGAACTTAGTCGAGCCTTCAAATCATATCAAACAACGTCGAAATCACGAATCGCAACTCAATTCAAGCTTTATGAACTCTAGAACTTCAAACCTCTACATTCGATGCCGAAACCTATCGAATTACGTCCGATTGACCTTAAATTTTGCACACAAGTCGTATTTGATATTACAGACCTACTTAAACTCCGGAATCGGAATTCGACCCCGATATCAAAAAGTCTACTCCCGGTCAAACTTCTCAAAATCCTTCAGCTCCCAACACCAGAATCACCATACGGAGCTATTCCCAGACTCAAAATCCCAAACGGACATCGACTTTGGTGTCAAAAGTGCGGATATCAGGACTGCCTCATCGACCGCGAATATCTCCTTTGCGGCCGGTTGTTCTCAGTAAATTGTTTTAATCCCTCATTGCGTTGGGAATTTTAACACCTGGTGTAGTGTGGAGGGCACTACCCTTATGTTGTGAATCCACTGCCTCCTGAACAGAGCATTATATCTCATATCTCCTTAGATCACGTAGAACTTTGCTTCTTGGATGGTTCCGGTGGTGTTCACCGGTAGTGTTATCTCCCCTTTAGTGGTCTCACATACATGCCATGTTGAATCCATTTAGAACTCAGACTGCAGGCACAATTTGGTCTTGTAGACCCAGTTGCTCTACAAACTCTCGATCTGATGATATTGGCCGAGCTACCTGGATCAATTAACACACGTTTAACTCGAGATTTATTTATGAGTGCATATATTACCAGTGCATCATTGTGTGGCTGCACGATGCCTTCAACGTCCTGGTCATTGAAAGATAAGGTTCCTTCTGGCACGTAATCTCGAGTCCGTTTTCCCTTGTGATGGATACTTTGGTACGCTTTACCATTAGCCCATGGGGGACGTCAACCCCACCGATAATCATATTAATGACGTGCTGAGGTTCCTCTTGCTCGATCTGCTTATTAGAGTCCCTATTCCTGAAATGGTTTTTGGCTCGATCCTCAGGAACTCTCGGAGATGTCCGTTGTTGAATAACTGGGCTACTTCTTCTTTCAATTATCGGCAATCTTCAGTTCTGTGGCCGTGAGTGCCATGGTATTTGAACATTAGGTTAGGGTCCCTTTTGAAGTTGTACTCCGATGGGCCTGTCGAAACCGCTTCTGCTCATGAGTCCCCGGTTATTTTGACCTCGATCGCTTCTCCTTTCACTTCTCACAGGGTTTCGCCCAGACCCATTACCTCTCCGGTCTCCATTGTATGGTTGATACCGGTCCCTATTTGATCGTGGTTCAGATCAATGACTCTATTGGATCTGTCAATAGATCTGACCGGATAAACGGACCCGGAAGGGGCCCCAAGCTAATCATCTTCAACCCTAATTTTTTATTGATGCCGGTTATGTACGTCGGCCCAAGTTACAGCTGGATATTCTATCAGATTTTGCTTCAACTGTTGTGAAGCCAACGAGCTTCGAGTATTGAGTCCCTGGGTGAAGGCCTGAACAGCCCAATCGTCCGTGACCGGAGGCAAGTCCATTCGTTCCATTTGAAACCGGGACACGAATTCCCTGAGCATCTCATTATCTCTCCGTTTTACTTTGAAAAGGTCCGACTTCCTGGACTCGACCTTGATGACCCTGGCGTGTGCTTTCACGAAGGAGTCTGCAAGCATAGCAAATGAGTCAATAGAATTAGGGGGTAAGTTATGATACCATATCATAGCTCCCTTTGACAAAGTTTCCCCGAACTTTTTCAGCAGGACGGACTCGATCTCATCATCCTCCAAGTCGTTCCCTTTGATGGCGCACGTGTAGGAGGTCGCATGCTCATTTGAGTCAGTTGTTCTGTTGTACTTAGGAATTTCGGGCATGCGGAACTTCTTTGGGATTTGCTTCGGAGCTGCGCTTGGAGGGAAAGGTTTCTGAACAAACTACTTGGAATCCAAACCCTTCAATATCGGTGGTGCTCCTGGGATTTGGTCGACCCTGGAATTATAGGTTTTCACCTTTTTGTCATTGGCTTCGATTTTCTTTTCTCCCGATTCTACCCGTTTTGTCAGTTCCTCAAGCATTTTTATGATCTCGGGGTTAGTCCCGGGTTTAACTTCACTCGGCCTCTCCGTGATTGGTTCATTTCTGCGAGTGATTTTCCGGGACGACTCGGGCTCAACTCTGCTGGGGGTGCGACTTTGGTTCTGCAGCGGGCCTATCGCTGCATGTTGGGCCTGTAGCATTTCGAAGATCACTCGCAAGTTGATCCCATCTCCTTCACCGTCGTGTGTATTTTGGGATGCCGATCGGATTACCCCGCGGACGCTGTTCTCAGGATCGGTATGCTGATTCGCATTGATGGCCACATGTGAGTTAGCGTCGATTGGGTCTGCGACCGGAACTCCGCTGGGATCGACAGGGGGCACCTCGTTATCGGGTACCATATTGTTGTTCTCGACGTGGTGACCGGACTCAGCATCCACGTTTAGAGGTGCAGATTGGGAGTTCGACATTTTGAACTTTGACTGGAAATTAAAGACACTTCAAAGAATAAGTGTAAAATATGGTGCGTTATAGAAATTTGTATCAAATTGCCACTATTATCTTTAGCCCCAGGGTGGGCGCCAAACTGTTTACCCTAAAAAATGGATAACAATTAAATTTGTAAGTGATTTTAAGGATACATAAATTTATTCAATACAAACGGTAAAGATTGCTAGAATAAACAGATAAAAGATGTTATAGATTATCAAATCGCTTGAAAATAAGGGGGAATGATTCTGGACTCGAGGGCAGCCTCAATGAGGTATCCGTCTTCGATCTCGGGCTTATAATAATGAAACATTGATCAACAAATATAAGGGCTTTGAATAACAGAAAAAATAATACTATATTGCCTTGATATGCGTGTATAATATGCTAAATGAATAATCAAACCCCCCTTTATATAGTAGGAGAGTTCTACTCTAGGTACAATTCCATAAAAGGTAAAAAAATCTTTCGTTTAACTAATCACCGGATTTTCGCCGGTACGTGCCGAGATCCACACCGCGATACTTGGCCGGCCACAGATATCACGGCCTCCTGTTAATCATGTTAGGTCGCCCAATAATGCTCTCTGAAGTCTTCTAGAGTTGGATTGATACCTGGGTCACGACCCCGATATTCTCGAGGGCGGGCATCGTGCCCTCGGAACCTGTCTCGATGAGTCCCTTACCTCGATTCCGGCTCCTTGTCATCACATCCCTTACTCGATTTATTTTATCGGAGACTAGGCCGTCTCATGGGTCCGGTTTCACCCGTATACAAACGGATATACTTCGATCGGTTTGTTCATACATGATAAGTTTTCCTCAACCCTTTTCATTTTTTTAAGATATATAATGACTAACGAGGATAGTAGGACGGACCTCTTTAGAACGTTCTTTACAATCTCCAGAAATAAGCAAGTCACATAGAGAATCAACATTTATGAACATATTCAACTGGTCTTTGACCCACATCTATCCTCAAGATCTTTCCGAGCAATGATCTCTTGTTTTGTGCACCACTTCCAATCATAAGATACAATAAACCATCTGCAGGGCAAAAGAGAATCTGGCCTCCTAGAACTCCCCTGTCTAGAAGTCCCATTGTAAGAATCCTCCTCACTTAGCTTCTAATGGACTAGCAATTTCGAATGTCAAGAAGATGATCAAAGTAGGACATTAGGGGAACTTCAGTCAAGAAAATCCATAAAATTATATAGCGATGAGGCAAGCATGGAGGTATACCAAGGAACGTGTTGATGCAGTACTATTTGCTGTGAACTCTGCTACAACAATATGATACTGGCATGGTTCAGTGCCACTTTCAACTGGAAGCTTTGCTTGATCACATTTTACTTCTGAGTTACATGAGCATCTGCCTGAACATACCGAGTGTTGCAACTTATCACAATTGTATGAAACAAAGAAACGACCATTATTCACAAAATTAGGATGGAAAGCTATTCCAGTACACCTAAATTGGTCATCAAAATGCACTTGCTCAGTTATATCTAGAAAGGGCTTGGATTCATCAAGATCCACATTCTATTAGATCCATCCTCGGGAACAGTAGAAATCCATACCTTAACTTTTCGGTTGCACAAAAAGATTCGGTCAGGGTGTGGAACCATGCTAATGTAAGACCAATTCCCAATTTTGTCAAGGCAGGCACCATTTGGGGCCTGAGGAGCTTCAGCAATACCAAGCGAACCCGTTTTTCTATTGAAACAGACATCCAAGCCATTCAAGGACCTACTATAGGTTTCACAGAAGGCGTCCTTTGATTGCCAATGATGCATCAACTGCATAATGGATTCAGATGTTCAAATGCAGAAAATGGGGAGTGCATAATGGACGCATTCACACATTTCTCCCAGACCTTAGAGCAGAAGTCACTTGATCTTTTATCCTTGGGCTGATGCACCTTCCCAATGGAAGTGAAGTTGCACAAAGCTGGTAGATCCCTACGAGCTGAGCCAAGTTGAGCAGAATACTGATCACATATCTGCTTCAATAGAAACCATAGGACAAAAACCCCATTAAAAGAGCTATCTAAATACACCAACCTGGCAGCTGTTCCTCTATTTTATCACATAATTGCAAATCGGAATACTCAAAAACCTCAAAGATAGAGAAGCTCAAAACTAGTCTTGTCTGCTAGGCGCAGACATAGGAATACATAGTTAAGCACAATTGCTTAACTTGGCCGATTTACTGGAACTGGGAAGCCATCTTCAACCACAAATGAAACAACTATTTGAAAAATCATACCGAGACTCCTTTTTTCAGAGTTTTGTGGACACTTTGTAACACCCATTATTGTCAATACCCAAAAATCATAGCACGGAGATATAGCACTAGCCACTACATGTCAGTCGAACTACGGATTGTACGTTCAAGCTACTTGGAAGTGAAAGTTGAAACCATATTAAATAGAAAAGGAAAAAAAAAATAGAAAGACAGCGACATAGTATAATCAGTTCAAATATAACTATTCCCTCGAGGCTAATTCTTATAAAACAACAACAATAACAACATACCCATCCATTATCATCTCTTTCTGTGAGTGTCATGCATAATGTTGTTTTTTTAATCTTCCTTTTCATTTTTCCCTTTAATGGACTGTAATTCTTATAGGGAAAAATGAAAAGGAAGATTAAAAAAAAACAGCATTATGCATGACACTCATAGAAAGAGATGACCAACAAGTAAATACTGAAAAAACTCATCCAGAGGCAGTATTTACACCAACCTAATGAATAGATGACATATATCTTTATATACACTGGTACCACTTGACCATAGTTAATGAATACACATTTCACTCCAATTTAGTGTAAACAGTGAGTGTGAGTGTTTTTCCTGATGAATATTGAGGACCCATCCGATTTGCCAAAGGCATTTCATTCCTTTTGCATGCCCTCCTTTGTCCGCTATTACTTGTCACTTCAGCTATCAAGACCACCAATTAGTACTTTCATATCCAACAATGTCATGCATAGTGATACAAGCCCATAAACATATCATAAGTTACAAACTTGCTAATTAGTAATCTACCAGCCTAATTGTGTAAAACTGTGTACACTATGTTACAAAGAGGTGTTGCTAGGGGCAACTGCGTTCAGCTACTATTCTCCTCAATTTTATGTATCAACGAGAACTAACTAGCTGCAACTCTTCTGTGAACAACATTATTATAGAAATTTCTTGTCCGAAAGAACAAGGCCAGGGCCACAAGAGCCCCAAAGAAAGTCGAAGCTGCCATGATAAAGAATGACAACATGAAGCAGTGAGTTCCGGTACACAAGTTCCCTTCATCCGATGCTTCCTTATCGTAGATATATCCAACTACCCACACAGACAGTAGGTAAGATCCCACAGGGCTTGCTACAGTTATGGTGTTAAATATTGTTCCCAGATGCCCTGCACCAAATATCTCAGAAGCTATTGTAGGCATTAGTGACCATTGTGATCCATAACAAATACCAACTATAACAGAGCCGGCATACAAAGCACCGGGCAGACCAGACGCTATTACAGCATGGCCAACAGTCATACCAGCCAGAGTAATGGCAATAAACAATGGCCTTGACCAACCAAGTGAGCGTAAGAAATAATCTGACACATAACCAGCTCCAAAGCGACCAAGAAAATTCCAGATACTCCAGAGAGAAACTAAAGTGTTTATCTCCAAAACTGTGTACCCAAGAGACCCTCCTATTTGGCTAATGTTATTAACTGTGGCCAGCCCTGATCCCATTCCACATGCAGTGGTAACAAACAAAAACCAGAAACCAGTGGTGCACATTGCCTGAAGAAGGTTCATATCTTCCCCCCATTCCGGAGTCTTCTTCTCATTTCTATCTCTCTCTTGATCAGCTCCAGCAGGCAACTCGTCATAGTCATCATGACTTTGCCCCATGTCCACAACATGCGTCTGAGATCTATTTTGCTCATATGCCGGTGAGTTTTGCTCGAGTAAGTATTTAACTATTCTATAAGACTTTTCCTTGTGGGCACTGATTGCAACAGAGATCGGGGAAAGTAGCAAGAAAATGAGTACAGCAAAAGTGGTGATGCGAACAGACAATTGTAAAGAGAAGATATTTCCCACAATTATTACTGCCGTGAGATAAGAAGCCAGGACCAAAGCAATCGATGAGAAACCATTCAGATGCTTCTTCTCATCATCTTCATTTGTTTGCGAGATTGTTACGAACGACATAAGTAACACAGTAGTTATAGGAGGCAACAACGCCAATAACAGAAGATATGCAGTGGGCCTGTTTCTAAAGATTGTCTGATATACTTGAATTAAAATTGCTCCACTCAACCCGAGGAAACCCTGCACAGATGGAAAACAAATCAAAATCAAAGAAGCGGAAAAGGGAAGATAAACTGGAAGCAATATACCATAAACAAGATTAGTATCATAAACCTTCTGAGATTCCAACTCATTACTCTCTGATCTCTATGATCTTTGTTTTTTACTTTGAGACTTGGTGCTGAAATCAAAGGAATGGCAATTCCTTCTATATTATGAAGAGAGATACAATTAACTTCTTGAACAACTTGCCATCTTTAGTTAATTATTCGGAGGCCAAAAGAAATGACAAGCCACAATATCATTCAGCCGACTATGCCTCAATCTAAACCTAGTTGAAGTTTGCTCTATCAAGGCACATTTCATATTACTGATTGTTTATTCTTTACTAAATTTTTATTTTAAGGCAAATTAAGAGTTCTCTAAAACTAGGTTTTCTAAATCACACTTATTCCTAAACAGACATAAAAGTCTCTAATTAGAATGAAATTATTTAAAGAACTCTTAAGAATGAACTTTATGCAACTGTAATAACGACAACAGCAACTAAGAATTGAATGCAACTGGTTGGTATCAACTATATACATCATTTGCTTCCTTTGGGTTTTGTGCTTAGGTAGATCCACATTGATTTCGAAGAGATTGTAGCTTTTTTGTAATAACTTCTTCAATTTATTTTAGGTCTAGCTCATTCCTTTCACCAATCTCATTTTGGTCAATACATATGAAGGTCTACCCAAGATATTACTAAACCATCTCAAGCGACCACATTTTATCACTAATATGTGCTACTTGCACTTTTTGCCGGGCATGACCATTTCAAGTTTTATCCAGCTTTTTATGACCGGACATCTATCATAACTCCCGTTTTTCTACAAATATTATCTTGTAAATATGTTAAAATTTCCGATTTTACAAACGTTCTATAGAACATACCTTTCACTTCGTTTTGTGAAACACTCCCATAGCACTCCTCAGTTTAAGTCATTCAATTTCAACTGTATGTGTCCATCATACCATTTCATTGGAAGATTGAATGTCGAAATCAAAACATTGTCTGCATTAAGGCACGACAATCCCATCTAATCTCATTTCATCATCGTTCTTATACGAGCCTAAAGTTGTAATGCATATCCTATCTTACTCCAAGGCGTGCTGCATTGCTCAATTAGTCTACCACTCTATATTAATTGCACTGTCTAATTGATAAGAGTACAGGAAATTGAAGTCCATAACAAAGCTTGCAACTTAAATAAACATAAAATCGAAATCCATGACAAAGCTTGCAACTTAAATAAAAAGTTCATTTTTTCCCTAAACCTCAAATTAGACGGATTGAGAAACGAACCTTCATGATGCCAACAATGGTGCCTCTATAATTAGGGAAATTGTGGACAGCAGTGACAACATTGGCCGTGTTGAAGAAAGTCATAGCATGAGCAGCTAAAAGCATGTAGAGGCACATAACCAATAAAGGGGGTTTAGGCAGAATACCCACGACGGTCAACCACATAAGAAAATACCCAGCAAAGCACTGAACAGCTCCGGCAAGCAGCACCACCCACGGCCCACCAAAACGGCGGCGGCGGACGGTGACAGAAGAGTATAGGAGACCGGAAAGAATGCCGACATTAGCGCCAACATCTTTGAAAACAGAGACAACATCGAGGGCAGATTGATCGTATCCTTGGCTAGATTTGAGAGCAGAAGAGTAGATGGCGAAGGTGTAGAGTGAGCCGCTGGTGCACTGGATCCAAATGCTGGTTACTGTGGCTACCCATTTGGTGTTGATTTTGGCCTTGAAACTGGGATTGTAATCTGGGTCTAAATCCATTTTTGGTTGAGGAGTGATAAGATATTCTAGGATTAACTCGACGTTTTCTTTCGCAACTAATTTGAGATTTTCTGATTTCCTCAACATGTTGAGTGTTGACATTTTGGGCTGCCAGGTGTCTGTACGTTACACTACTTTATTCGTGCCATGTCAGAATTAATATTAATATTTATTAGTAATTGATTGATACCATTGTTCTATAGCACGTGAACGTGTTTCTTTTCCTTCTATTCACCTTTGAAGAAAGAACGTTAACGAGTTTCTTTCTAAATTTAAAACCTCTTTCTTCTTGGTCTTTGAGGTAAACAATATTTACGCTATTTGCACATTGATCGGCATCCACATGGAGAAAACACCGATGTCAAGTTAGATAAGATCTATACTTTGAAGTGACTTGAACTAGAAATCAAGCCCCCACTTGAATCACTAAGTCAAAACTTAATTAACAATTATTGGGACCTCTTGGAATTAGAAAATTTATATGTTTACTTTTTCTTTTTGCACAGAAAATTCATATTTTTACACCTAAAACCTGCTGTTCTATCTTACCTTCTCAAAGGACTAACAATGTTTTTTTTTAATCTTTTATGATAGCTAATACGAACTCCAATCTAATAGTGAAGGTAAAAAAAACTTATCATTAAAGCAACCTCTCTTGTATTTGAATCATAGTTTAATTTTCAACCATATCCAAAATTAAGAGTATTTGTTGCGAGATTACTAGTATAACAAATTGGAGTAAGTACGTGTGCTATGTGCTTATGACTTGGAAATAACTTCTTGAACTTCCTTAAGCAAGGCCTCATATGAGAGAGAACAATTCAGACATGAAATGCCATGTGTTTCTGGTAGGCAATCCTAGAAAGTGAGTGTTACATCTATAGAAGAGCTCCTCACCTGACACCTCATTCAGCTGAACCTATTTTGGCCTTTTGCTTTTCTTTTCTATGTTGTGAACTTCGATTTATTCCTGAATTCCAATTGGATATTTCCATTTCGTTCTTCCCGATTATTTAAACTTAATTGTAACTTTTTGTCAAATTGTAGTTATTGATCTCCTATATGGCTCTACCTATTGAGTTGAAGAATCACATCGTTATAGATTTATAGAGGCGATTTTGAAGAGTCGAAATAGTTGAATCTGACACAAAGACCCCAA